CATTCCAAATGACGAAACCCCCTCAAAAGCCATAGGTCCGCCTTCTTTCCCGCCAGGCCTCGAACGCCAAGTACCCTAAACCCTAAACCCTGAACCCTAAACTCCTAAACTCCAAAACTCCTAAACTCCTAAACCCGGAACCCGAAGCCCAAAGTCCCAAAGTCCTCACCTTTTGCCGCCCTCGCTCCCCCCCCCCCCTTTCAAAACCTACCGACCCTCAGCTCCCTAAACCCTGAGTCCGACCTGCAGCTTCATGTGAAACAGGGTTATTCTATTGCCTTTATAGACCCCCTAAATAGAAGGATCCCCTTCTAAATAAGGACCCCAATAAGGCACTCCTAGTTTCGGAAACCCCCCTATTTGGGGGGGCGTATTTAGGGTTCCTTGTGCATACTGGTGAGTGTAAATACTCGGTGTCCTCAGGAGGTACGAACAAGAAACGACCCATACTTCGTATGGGGTTGCATCTACCATTGAGGGAGGGGGGGGGGTGATGCCTACCAAGCTGAAGGTAACAGGAGTTACGGTTACACCTTAATGTAATACCATCCCCCACCCTAACCCTGAAACCCCAAGCCCTAAACCCTAAACCCTAAACCCTAAACCCAAAACCCTAAGCCCTAAACCCCAAAGCCCAAACCCTACCCTAAACTCTAAACCCTAAACCTCAAACCCTCGTCCTCCGTGCAGAACCTTGAGCAGCGGCTGACGCCGCTGGCGCCTGTCTGGGAGCTTGGAAGAGAGAGGGTTTAGTTTATAGGGTTTAGGGTTTAGGGTTTAAGGTTTAGGGTTTAGGGTTTAGAGTTTAGGGGTTATACGGCTTAGGGTGAAGTATCCAGCCAGGGCTTAGGAAGAGAGAGAGAGAGAGAGAGAGAGCGAGAGAGAGAGGGTGTTTGGGTTCTTTAGGAATCTAAACCTTCAGGGGGGTTTAGGGGTTGTTAGAGTTATGGCTTCGGAAGGTTTACTGGAGTTTTTGGTTTTGGGGCTTAGGGTTTTGGGCTTCAGGGGTTTGGCCTATGAAGGTGCGGCAGTAACCCTAAACGCTCAAAACTAAACCCTAAACCCTAAACCCTAAACCCTGAACCCTAAACCCTAAACCCTAAACCCTAAACCCTGAACCCTAAAGGGGCTTCTGAGCTCGTAGATGTTTTTTGGGCTTTCGGCAGAGGTGCGGGCGCATCTGGTCATCCCAAGCCCTACCGCAATCTTCCAGAACTTTGTGGGCTCTTCGGGTCTTTTTCAGGGGTCTTTTTCGGGGGCCTCTGCATGTCTACCACACAACCCTCAACACCACAACCCCCTCGCACCCTCGCACCCTCGCACCCTCGCACCTTCGCACCCTCGCACCCTCGCACCCTCGCACCCTCGCACCCTCACACCCTCGCACCCTCGCACCCTCGCACCCTCGCACCCTCACACCCTCACACCCTTCACACCCTCGCAAACAAAACCCCACAACCCTAAACCCTAAGCCCAGATAACCCTAAACCTGAAGCCTGAAACCCTAACCCTAAGCCCCGATTGCCCTAAACCCCAAACCTACACCCTAAACCCCAATGCCCTAAGCCCTGAACCCGCAAGAAACATCCTGAGGCCGACGGTTTAGCAGCCCAGTCGAAGCAGGATTTCGCCGCCAAGGTGGGCCGGCTTGAGGGTTTTAGGTTGGGATCCTTAACAGGGATTATAGCAGGGGGAACCGCCCAAAATATGGGACAGCACGACACCCCCGTGCATCCCCAAAAAACCTTTTATTCGGGAACCCCGTACAACTGCAGCAAGCTGGGGGGCCCCTGTTCTGCGGCAGAAACCTGAGCCCTGTTTATGAGCTCCAAGTACGGACACAGCACGCTCAACCCCTAAACCCTAAAACCTAAGCCTTAAGACCTAAGCCCTAAACCCTAAACCCTAAACCACTTCTGCGCGAGGTGGATGTGCTTTGCCAGTCCATCGAGAAGAAGAACAACGTCGCCTGCATTGCAGCTGGCATTCGTGTCCCTAAACCCTAAACCCTAAGCCCTAAACCCTAAGCCCTAAGCCCTAAGCCCTAAGCCCTAAACCCGAAACCCGAAACCCGAAACCCTAAACCCTAAACCCTAAAGAAACAAATTGGGACCTTAACCCGAAAACCCCCAAACCCGAAACTGCCCTTGGACCCTCGCGGCTTGATGAAGACCTTGAGGCCGCGGAGTCTTTCAGGCCCCCGAAGCCCCTATGCTAACATCTTCACGTGGTGCACATCTGTCGTTTTTTTTGATGAAGGGATTTGGGGTTCACAGGCTTAAGAGTTCAAGGGCCCAGAAGGGTTCAAGGGTTTGTGAGGGTTCAATCTTGGGTTTAAGGGGTTTGAGGGTGTCAGGGTTTAAGGGGTCTTGGGTTTAAGGGCTCAAGGGCTCACGGGCTCACGGGCTTCAGGGCTTGGGGGGGGGGGGGGGGGGGGCTGAGGCGTGTCCCCTAAGTCCCATCAACCCAAGGGTTCGTCTTGTCTGCCTTATGTTGCTGGGGAAGGGAACGAGCACCTTTGTGCGAGCTACAATTCTGAAATGAATATGTTATAGTGGGCATATAACTTTTATACAACCTCAACATCACTACACCAATTCTGATGTAATGATAGTATCTGTGATACAGCAATAAGATAGTTTTAATCCAAGTTCACTCTCGTTTTAATGTAGTTGCAGTAGCAGTTGTAAGATAGTAGCAGCATACTGTCGACATTCGAACTACAGCAGAAATATGCTAGAAGTAAACTACGGCGAGGTCGTGGTACCCATATGTTTGAACCGTCTCGGGTTAAAATTCTCATCGCTGATCAGTAAGGTTTGCCCTTATGATGGTCAGTGCCGTAGCCCTTTTCTATGTTGTGACTATATTACACTTTCGTTTACCACCCCCCCCCCCCAAGCCTCCCAAACCCTGAAACCTCACCACCCCTGCCTCCTCTTAAACCCTCAAGTTAGCATCGATGCCGAAGAAAAAAAGTTATTTCTGTAATCTCCCTCCCTTGTTTTGTGATTGGCTTTCAAAGCTCAGCGCTCGGCCTTCGGCCCTGCTTGGAGGTTCCTGCGTAGTTATAAGTAGAGTTAGAGGCATCCTAAGCAGGGTTATAACCAGCTAGAGTCATAGTTGCCCTACGTATAGCTCCACTTATAACTTCCCATGAACCCTCACGTGGCCCTAAACCCTAAACCCTGAACCCTAAACCCGAAACCCTAAAGGCTAACCCCAAGACCCTAAACCCTAAATCCTGCACCCAAAACCCTAGCAGACCCTTCTTCGTTTTCCAGGATGCCCTGGAGCAGAAAGCCGAGAAGGCCCGTGCGGTTGGTCGGATGGTCTAGCAACTTTGGAACTCTGGTTATGGTTTAGGGTTTAGGGCTTCGGGTTTAGGGCTTACAGAGAATGGTTCAAGGTTGAGGGTTGCAGGGTTTTTTAGGGTTTGGGGCGCGAGTTTCGGGTTTGCAGGGTAAGTTTAGGGTTAACGCTCAGGGTTCACGCTTGGTTGAAGTTAAGGGCTGAGGGTTAGGGCTCAGGGTTTGGGGTTTAATTAGGGGTGAGGGTTTAGGGTTTGGGGGTCGAGCATTTGGGGCTTCGGAGTCTCGATGTGTTTTGGATGCTCTGGCGCCGCGACCCCAGGTTTCAGTCCTTGTTTAAAGGGGTCGGTCCGTAAGCTCAACCCTGCTTGGGGTTTGCCCAAACCCTAAACCCTAAACCCTAAACCCTAGACCCTAAGGCCTAGACCCTAAACCCTATACCCTAAACCCTAAACCCTAAACCCTAAACCCTAAACCCTAGACCCTAGACCCTGAACCCTGAACCCTGAACCATAAACCCTAAACCCTGAACCCTAAACCCTATACCCGACGACCAGATCCAAAGTGGCCAAAGAACAGAAGCTGAGAAGCTCGTGGGGGCCCGAAGCTCAGAGGCGTTTGGCTTCTGAAGGCCGAGCACAAGGGGCTCCCGTTTCAAGGTTGGGGGGTTGGGATGTTCCCCCTTTTTCTAACAGTCCTTAGTAGGGATTGCAGTATCCCCTAGTAGAGTCCCTATTAAGGATTGTTCGTATTAGGGGGAACATCCCAAGTTGGGAGTCTGGGGGCCAGGAGGTTCCCGTTTAAAGGCTTGGGGGGTTCTGGAGGCCGAGGATGCCACCGGAACCCCTTGTGTTCGTGTCCGGGGAACCATCTCAAGTCGTCTTAAGCTTTCCCGCTTTCGCGTGCGTGCTTCATCTCATGACGAGCCCGTGTGCTATCGGGGTTGCGATCCGTGTAGCTGTTGTCGATTGTAGAGCCTCGGCTCGTCTTCGCGTGTCAGAAGTCCTGGCAGCCATGGGAGTCGTACGTATAGGGGTCATGATCCTCGTGACTTTCGGGCGTTTTGGGGCCCTCAGCTCGTTTTGCAGGTCAAGCGTGTCATGCGTCGCGCGTTCTCACGTCGTCTCTTCGTCGCGTCCTCGTCGTCCCGAGGCCCCTGAGACTCTCAACCCCCAAAGCCCAAACCCCAACGACCTTTTGCCCCTAAACCTCTCCCGAACCCCGTGAAGCTCGTTGCTCCCGCTTGGGGGTTAGGGTTTACAGCTTCAGTACACACGCCGCGGCCGCGTTGCTAAGGCCATCTGCTTGCCACTGGCTGCGAAGGATCTCGAGGCAGCGCTGGAGATCGCCAAGGCTCCAAGGGTTTTGTATGCTGGGTTTGTCTCTCGGTGTTTGTGCGCACTTTGAGATTCTGATTAGACATGCACACGGTGTCACGTCGAACCAACGCAAACCGCGAGAGTCTACATTGAATGGCCGAAGCCGAAAATCACAAACGACACAGCCGCAGCCGCGTCGGAAATCGGTCAGAACATCAAGTATACAGTGGTAGCTGCGTCCCTCATTGGCAACAGCCTCAAGACTCCACGCAACCACTGGTTGAAGGAACCTACTTGAAGGTTCATGCGTAGTTACAAGTAGGCCCACTTGTGACTACAAGCCCAGGTATAGCGCCACTTACTGCTACCCATGAACCTCCAAGTAGCGCGCAGCATGGACAATTTCATCAGTCTGGGAGCAAGGAACACAGACAAGGCCAATGTGGAGCCGACGGCGACGTTGAACCACGACGACATGCAGGAAAACGCATCGGGCATTGTTCAAACCTCCGTGCGCCGATCGGTCTTCATTGTCAAGGTCAAGAGATTGGCCATCTACTTCAAAGATAGATGTCTGCAGCAAGATCTGTCACAGATGATCCAATTTGCTCCGGGATTAATAAGCACTCATTTGGATGAAGTCCGTCAGCAAATGGAAGCAGGAATTTGAACTTCCTGAGGGTGTACAGAGAGACGACGGCCCCACGTGCATTGCAAATGCTGGCGAGAATGAATGCTGCTCTCGGGCTTACCATCGGCAGGATACCATGCTTACCAGTGTCAGGAATATTATGATCTGTTGCAAAACAAGCCGGATGGAGGAGGCAAAGATGCCACAGCTAGCGCACAGCAGCTCCACTTGCAATGCAACAGAACACTGGGACTGCGACCGGCACTTTCGGCATGTGCGTAAAGATCTGCTCCATGCTGGCGGCCAAGAACGAAGAGAAATTCAGCGACCCCAATCGAAAGAGCCATTTGATAGTTTGACAGGGTAGCAGCCGTGAAAGAAATGCAGCAGCCCATGAGACCATCACAGCAAACGATGTCAAGGGCATGTACAAGAACTTCATGATACGATTTTGTCGAAAGAGCTGGTTTCGTCATTCGTGATGCCCCAGAAAAGCCTTGAACAAGCCGGGGAAGCAGTCCAGCACCTCAAAAGTCGGAGAATCGCGGGTCGCATAAGGAATTGTTGCATCCCGTGAGCATCCACAACCCTGTGAAGGCAGCATGGCACGAAGCAGTATGGGTAATAATTTGCAGTCAACTACTACCGCAACGACCTCGCTCCCCACGAAGCTTTTCCGCCATCTCCTAAACCCGAATTCCGTAAAGCTGTGCAACGCCTTGGAGAGTTTTTTTTGAAAGACTTCAGGGTTGACAAGACTTCACGGTTGATAAGGGCTTCTCAGGGTTTATATGTGGGCTTCTGGGTTTATAAGGGTCTACAAAGGTTTGTGAGGGTTTGTGAGTGTTCTGAAGTGTTTAACAAGGTTTCAATGTGGTTTTTATAAGGGTTCGCAAGCGTTTGTAAGCGTTTATAAGCGTTTAGGGTTTCTGGGCCCCTTGATATTTAGAACTTTAGGCCAAAGCCTTTAACTTTAATCCTCCATGCAAATACTCCTCCACACACAGGTTAAGCCCTACACCCCCACCTTCCCCAGCCTTAGAAGGTTCATGGGGCTACATAAACCTAAGCCCTAAAGCCTAAACCCTAAATCCTATACCCCCTCAACCCGAAACCGCTCTTGGCTTCGTTTGGTGCAGGCAGAGGCATTGGAGAAGCTCGATGCCAGCCTGACTCCCGGAGTGGAGCGGTTGTTAGGAAACCATTATTATGATTATTACTATGATTATTATGATGATGATTGTTATTGTTGTTATTATTAATATTATGATTATGATTATGTATGATTATGATTATGATTGTGATGATGATGATGATTATTATTGTAATATATATTGTTGTTATGTTATTATTACAATTCTTTTTATTAGTATTAGTATTAGTATTAGTATTCGTATTAGTATTAGTATTAGTATTATATAGTATTAGTATTAGTATTAGTATTAGTATTAGTACTAGTATTAGTATTAGGATTAGTATTACTATTCGTATCAGTATTAGTATTAGTATTAGTATTAGTATTAGTATTAGTATTAGTATGAGTATTAGTATGAGTATTAGTATTAGTATTAGTATTAGTATTAGTATTAGTATTCTTACTCTTATTCTTATTATTGTTTTTAATTCTTATTCTTAATTCTTATTCCTTCTAATTCCAATTCTTATTCTTATTCTTAGTCTCATTCTCATTTTCATTCTTATTCTTATTCTTATTCTTATTCTTAATTCTAATTCTAATTCTAATTCTTATTCTTATTCTTACATCATTACTATGATTATTATTATTGTTTATTTATTATTTTTTATGTGTTATTTATTTTGTTTTTTTTTTGGGGGGGGGGGTGGGGGTTTGGGGTTGTAGGATATTTTTTGCCTTTTAGGGTTTGGGGTTGTAGGGCTTGGGGTTGCAGGATTGTTGTAGCGAGATCTTGAAGGAGATGGGGTTAGGTTGGGGGACATGGGGGGTTTGGGGGTGCTTGTGCCGAGGCTTGATTGCACCCGTCAGCTTTGCATAATCCGCGGTATAGTGCTTTAGCTCCACCACGTGTAGGGTATAGGGTTTAGGGTTTTTTCTAGGCCCTAAACCCTAAGCCCTAAACCCTAAACCCTAAATCCCTCGACCCTAAAAGGCCCTAAACCCTAAACCTTAAACCCGAAGCATCCCGAAGCCCCGCCCGAACAGTGTTAGGCCCTGTGTGTCGGTGCACGGAGGTTTGGTGATGCTCACACCCAAGCTGGCCGAGCGCACCAAGCAAGGTCGCAGCCGTTGGGCCTGTAGGGTTTAGGGTTCATGGATACATATTATGTTTAGGGTTACATGCGTTTGAGGTGCAGATTTCAGGGTTTCGGGTCTGAGGTTTCTGGTGGGAGGTTTGGGAGGTATAGGTGTTTAGGTTTGATAGGGTTCTTGGGCCCAGTACTTGCCAGTGTCTTTTTTCCATGATGTTGGTGCTTCGGCTTCGTGCCTTTTGAGCCCTAAACCCTAAATCCGAACCTGAACCCGAACAGCTGAAGGGTTCTCGTCAAAGGGTTTGGGGTCAGTGAATGAGTTGATGGGACATCTGTGCTTTGGGAGCTAGCATCCTGCAGTGTTGGGTTTCGGGTTTAGAATGTCAACCTCAACTTAAAGCATCAGCCCTATAAGGGAACTGCTCCAAGGTTTAGGGTTTCAGGTTATTCCCTACTTTGGAACACTTTTGGCGAAAGGTTGGGCCAGTGGCCCTCCTACACCCTAACCCGAAACCCTTAACCCTGAACCCTAAGCCCTAAACATGCAGCCAGGCGTCTATTGCCACATCCTCGAGCTCGTCGAGGCCACCGCAGATCGCGACGCCAGCTGGTCCGAACCCCCCCTCCCCCCCTGTGCCGGTCCGAACAAGAGATCCTTGGAACCAGGCACCTTTTTCCCCTCAAAGGGACACCAAAGCTGAATGGCCCCGTGTGTCCTTGCCAGGAGGTGCTTCAACCAAGGATCGAAGCTCCCTGATCTCGAAGCACCCTGAAGCTCCAAACTCGCCAAACCCTAACAAACCCCCTAACCCCCAAAGTCCCCAAACCCTTCAACACCGAACCCTAAACCCTAAACCCTAAACCATAAACCTTCAACCCTTAAACCTTCACCCTTAAGGGCCTGAAAGCCCCAACCCCCTGCGTTCCGCCAGGACAAGCGCAAAGCCAATGCTTTTGCCCTGCACCGCAGGTCCGTTCCCTGGTGCTGCCGGAGGTTTTGGGGGTTTGGGGCCCTAAGCCCTACCCCCCTGAACCCTAAAACCCTATTCAGGTTTTGGGTGGGGGGGGAGGTTTGAAGGGACTCCATACATTGGCCTCTTTAAGGCTCTGCCTGAACCCTGGAATTCTATAGACCCCTTGAGTCCCCTAAGCCCTCAATTCCTCGCGCCAGAAGGCGCACGCGGCTGGCGACACTCAGCGTGGCGTCCCTTCCTCAGCCGCAATCAAGGTTTAGGGTTTCGGGTCTAGGGTTTAGGGTTTAGGGGTTAGGGGTTAGGGGTTTAGGGGTTTAGGGCCCAAATGCGACTGCCGAAGCGCTATTGTTTTCCTCTTTTGGGATGCAGCGGCTGAGTGGGGCCAGCATCGGGCGGAGCCTAGTCGAGCCGATTCTACCCTCAACCTTAAAGCCGATACCCTAAACCCTAAACCCTAAACCCTAAACCCTAAACCCCAAACCCTAAACCCTAAACCCTAAACCCTAAACCCCAAACCCTAAACCCTAAACCCTAAACCCTAAACCCTAACCCTAAACCCTGAACCCTGAACCCTAAACCCTAAACCCTAAACCTAAACCCCAGCCCCAAGCCGAGGCCCCTGCTTTGCATTCTCGTCGCCTTCGGGATCATCCTCGCAGGCGCCACCTGGGGCTCCATCGACTGGGTCTTCGGAAGTATTTTCAGGGTTTAGGGTCACTTTGAACGTGTCCCATGAAGCTAAACCCTAAGCCCGAAACCCTAATCCTGAACCCTAAACCCTAAACCCTGACCCTAAACCCTAAACCCTAAACCCCAAACCCTAAACCCTAAACCCTAAACAGGCCCCCCAAGAAGGTAGGGGGGGGTTCCTGTGAAAGGGCAGCCGGCGGACTGCCACGAGTCGCTGGCCGTTGCAGGCGAAGCTGTGAGTCGTGAGTGAGGTGTTCGGGTTGAAGAGTTTGGGGTTTCAGGGTTCTCGAGGCTAGGGTTTAGGGTTTAGGGTTTAGGGTGGGTTTAGGGGTTTAGGGGTTTAGGGGTTTAGGGTTTAGGGGTTGGGGGTTTAGGGTGGGTTTAGGGGTTTAGGGGTTTAGGAGTTTAGGGGTTTAGGGGTTTAGGGGTTTAGGGTTTAGGGGTTTAGGGGTTTAGGGGTTTAGGGGTTTAGGGGTTTAGGGGTTTGGGGTTTAGGGGTTCAGGGGTTCAGGGTTCAGGGTTAGGGGTTTAGGGTATACGGGGTGAGGGCTTAGGGGCCTAGAGGTTTGGCGGTTTAGGGTTTGGGGGTGAAGGCTTTAGGGTATAGGAGTTTAGGTGTTAGGTTCAGGGCTTTAGGTTTGCTTGTCTTTGAAGTGGCTTCTAGGGGTTTCGGACTTCGGGGTTTTAGGGTGTAGGCTTGGAGTTTTCTGAAATGATTTTGGGGTGTCTTGGGGTTCGGGAGTTTGAATTGTGTTAAAGGGTTTTGGGGGGCTTGGTGGTTTCAGAGTTGTAGGTGTGGCTTGAGGGCTTTGAGGGTTTTAGGCAGTTGATAGGGGTTCGGGGGTTATAATGGGATTTGAGGTTCTTTCCGGCTTTTTTCCGGCTTTGAGCTGTCACACATTGTGCGAGGTTCAGGAAAGTAGAAGAGACCCCTAACCCCGTCTAGTGGGTAAGAGACTTGATCAAAGGGAGGAGCATGCGTGCAGACTCCCGAAGCGTATCCTTTCAACCACTCTGTTTCAAGGGGCTTGGGAGTAGGCTTTTCAGAGCCCTAAACCCTACACCCGAAACCACAAACCCTAAGCCCTATATCCGCATTCTGGCAGCGTCAGGGCTTCAGGTGCTTTCGCGTCTGCAGACTGAAAA